CCCATAATAATAAATACTGTATTTTTTATTTAAAATTTATCTTAACAATATATTTGAATTAAAAAAAATTGAGAGAAAGAAAGAGAAAAAACTTTTTTATTTGATTATTGAAAAATTAAAATGGAGAAAATAAAAAAAAATTTTACTTTATTTTTTAACTTATTTACTTATCCAAATGAAGAAAAAAAAAGAAGAAAGAATGAGAGAGAGAGAGAAAAAAAAAAGAGAAATGAAAGGCTACAATTCCCTTTCCCTCCTCTTAATTATATGGTAAATTAGTACTTGTGGTTGTTGTTTATATATTAAAGCAAACAATAAAATTTTTTTCACTAAATCATTATTTATTAAAGAAATAGTATTTATCGACCTTATTTTTTAAATAATAAGAAAATTATAATTATAAAATTACGTCATTTTAATAAATATTTATTAAAAAAATTAAAATATCTTACTTTTAAATAATGAATTAGGGTTTTTTTTTATCTTTTTTTTATCTTAATTTTTTTAGAGGTAATATGGATAAGCACTAACCCCATTCATTAATTTTAATTATATATTATACAATATTAGTATAAAAAAGTCTTTTATATATTTTTTAGAAATAATATATAAACATAAATTGTTTATCAATTTTAATATAATTTTAAAAATAAAATAAAAAATGTCATTCTCCATAAAACAGGGGAAGTGGAAAACTAATAAATTGCCGTAGCAAGCGATACAGGCTATTGCCACATGGATATGTATGGCTCACCATATCACATTCGTGATTACAGAATCATAGAATCAAGTAAAGTAATCAACCTGCCTGTCCTGCCTCACGCACATTCTCTTTGAGGCTTGTTTCAGGGGCTTGTTATTTTTAATTAATTGAGTATTTCCATCTCATTGTTTTTATTTTTTCGGGGCTACATTTCATTGGTAAATTGGGTACATTATGTAAGCCCTCTTTAAGGTATTATTAGTGTCCCTTTCTCAAAACTATTAAGTTTAATTACTTTGTATTATGTAAAGAGATTAATGAATATCAATTTTTATTGTAAAAAATTAAATAAAAAATATATTTTAAAATTATGTTATTTTAATAAAAATATAATAAAAAAATTAAAACAATCTTATTTTTATTTTAAAAATTAAAATAAAGCCTTATACGATGGTAACCGGTTGTTCCGCTTGCTACCTTCCTTCAACTTCTTGCTTGCTTTCTTTGTGGAACAAGTTGGGGTTTTTTCTACATTTGCATTCTACGTATTCCATTACCTCAAAATTTCATCTTTCTCAGCATTCGCCGATAACCCACTTGTTTTCTCACAATGGGTTTATGGGATTCTCTTCTCAATTGGCTTCGCAGGTGATTCTTATACTTTTAATTTTCATACTGAATTTTGATTATTTTTGTCAAACTCTATTTGGCTGCTCTGCTCGTATAGTTTTTGCAGATGTAATTGCTGTAATTTAATCATGTAGATCTTCTTTGTGTCTTTGTGTTCATTTGTGATGCTTGCTTCCTTGTTTTTGGTATGCACATAGTTTCAAGTGAAGTATAGTCACAATATAATCACAGTTCGTCTTGAGGATTATTTTTTAGTAAATGGGTTCTTAAATCTTCTGTCAATTACATTGCTTTAGGGGATTGTGTGGTAAATTATGCTTTTCATTGACATATCTAAAAATTTATCTGTTGATTGGTTGTGCTGAATAACAATGGGAAAAATGGTGAACATTTTTTTGAGTAAATTATGCTTTTTGAATAAAGCTTTCTGTTTTCTGTATAGTTTTTGCCTTGTTTAATGATACTGGATGGGTTTACATTTCTTGGGAAAATGGTGAACAATGGGAAACCAATTCGTTAATCCAACTAAACAATGAGCGTATTGATTAACATGTGTAACTTCATTTTCATATTGGTGACATGTACAGCCAAGAATTTGTTGCCAAAGAAAATTTATGATATATTATATAATTTCTTCTTGAGCTGTTTGGCTGCCTTTTATGGTAATGTCTAGAGATGAGGATCTCTGGTCAAGATATAATTTGAACCAAATAATCTTTATTTTTTTTTTCTAGAAAATGAATATCTTGAATAAACTTTTCTGGGATGCTTTGGGCTATAATGGACGTTGGTTCTCTTGGATTTTTGTTGTCAACTTCTCTACAATGTCTTGGTGGTGTGTCTTAAGTCATCTAGCTCCGTTTTCCCATACAGTCTCTCTAGGTTTACAAATTTGCGAGAAAGAAAGATTAAGTTTCATTTTATATTTTGTATCAAGACAATAATTGTTGTGAAGAACTGTTCACTGTCTCATTCAGCTTCTTACCATGTCTATGCATGGCAGCTTATTCTTTAAGCAGGAAATGGAACTTTCACTTGTTGGTCTTCAGAATGCAGGAAAGACTTCTCTTGTTAATGCAATTGCTGTGAGTAACAGCCACTCCAACTACTCCTACATTTATTGTCGTTTTCCTGATAAAATTGTTATTCTGAGTGGCTTTTATCTCATGATCATTTTTCCTTTTGATGTTTACCAGACAGGGGGCTATAGGGAAGACATGATTCCAACAGTATGTATCTTCTACTTGATAAGAACCCCTTTGGAAGCTACCTTAAAATTTAATTCTTCAAATTATGAAACCAGGTTGGATTTAATATGCGAAAGGTTGTAAAAGGGAATGTGACAATAAAGCTGTGGGACCTTGGAGGGCAACGGAGATTTCGTACCATGTGGGAGCGCTACTGTCGTGGTGTCTCTGCAATTGTGTAATATTTCTCATTCTCTTAATGTTACAAGTTTGTCATGTCATTAATACAGGATCTATAAGGATATCACACCTTTTTTTCCCAAATCAGATGCCTCTTAAAATTGCCAAGAGTTTTTCAAAATTTTGGGCTTTTCCTATTTTTTCTTATTCTACCTCACCTACTCACTAAATCTTCTTGTTCTTTTAGTTGGTGTGAATATTACTAAGTGATGTACACGTCCTATGTTGTAGCCAGTAGGGCCAAACACTTTACATTCTTATCTTGATGGTCTTTCTAATAGACTCGCTAGACTTAGTATGTTCCTTTGGTTGATGAAAGTGCAGATACGTAGTTGATGCTGCTGATAGAGACAGCGTTCCTATATCTCGAAGTGAGTTACAGGATCTTTTGACAAAGCCTTCGTTAAGTGGAATCCCACTGCTTGTTCTTGGAAACAAAATCGACAAGTCTGAAGCTCTTTCCAAGCAAGCTTTGGTGGATCAGCTGTAAGTTTTCAAATTCTTGCAAGAAACCACAGCATTTTTATTTAAGTTTATCTTGCCAAAATGACAAAAAGGTACTAAAGTTACTGGTATGTATCCTTTACATTGGCTGGATACAGAGCTCTTAAGTCAATCACTGACAGAGAGGTGTGTTGCTACGTGATCTCGTGCAAGGATTCCATAAACATAAATTCCGTCATTGATTGGCTTATCAAGCACTCGAGAACGGCCAAATGAGTAAAAGGTTCCATCTTAGCACATTTGATCTTTTATTTATGAATGATGAAGGTGAAGATATCTTACCTATAAATCCAAACTTTTCCTTGATGGTGCAGTTCTATTAATGCTTCAGCTTAGCGTTTTGTGGGAAGATGGAAAAATTGAGCCCGGATTTTTAGTCGTGCTCCAAACTTGCATTATGTAAAGGTCTAGGTTCTTGCCACTGCAGAAATTAAATCCAACTAACTCCACAAATCAATTGTCATGTAAATTAAGTGTCAAATTCTCATCAAAATGATGTGTGTATATATGTTTTGATGAACATAATCTGTGTCCATTAGATTTACTTATTCATGTTATCATATTATCTGGTTTGATGTCTATAATAATGAAAAACTGGAATACATTTCAATGAAAAAATAAAAAGAAAAAAGAAAGAGAAAAAAGAAAATGCCCTTTTGATGCTTTCCGCTGATGTTCATTTCAGATCGCCATCGAAGCAGTTGAGTCTGAAAGCCAAATTTGTTTAGTAGTCGAATTGTTCCACAAATATTAAATCACACTTCTGTAGAACCATTCAAGCCTCGAAAGTCCTTGGATAAGGTGTCCTAAATTAAAAGTTCAATTCTTAACAGAAATGACTATCTCAATGAACCTGACTCTCTAGACATAAAATGGGAGACCAATTTTTTATTGTATAATTCGTCATTGGATAAATGAGACCACACCACTTGGTGTGAGTCATACTTTTACAGTTTCAACCAACTGGATACATTCTTTTTAACGGATCACAATTTCCAGCAAAACCAAAAGAAAAAGCTATGCAATTGTTGTTTTCAAGTGAGTGAACAACTATTTTTGAGAAAAGGCTATAGAGTAACTAGTCAAGCTATTGACAAAAAGATGCTTCTTTCATATGATCAAATCTCGAACTCTCATTATTCCTGTCCACCTCTTTTTTCTATGAGGGTTTTAATTAGTTTCTCTATCCCATATACAAAATAAAAAGTAAAAAAACCTACTACTATTCTTTTGCCTGCCGATTTCATCACAATTCAGTTTTAACAGATCAAATTTGCATCATACACAACTCAATTATACTACTCAAAACAAGAAAAACGACTTCTAATAAACATGTCAGTTTTTTTAGAGAAAGATAAACATGTCAGTTTATTACCCTGATGTGTTTTTATTTTGTCCAGAAAGGAAGAACATCTTAGATGCTGTTGAAAGCTGTCAAAAAGAAGTTGCTCATCTGGTAAAAAGTACCAAAGGAAGATGAAAGAAAACGAGTTCCACGCCTTAGCATATATGCTCTGCGACTGCCTGCAATTATTCTTGGGGTTTATTGCTTCCTTTAAGATTGGTCCATAGCTCAGCAACATTAAAAGACACCCAATTAATTTTCCTACAGCTTCTCTGTCTCCGCTTCTTAATTCTGAGTATTTCTATAGTTATTTCCTAATACTTCTACTTTTCAGACATGTTTTTGTTTTCAAATTAAAGCAATAATAATTTGATCCTTTCTCTCTTTCTCCTGTTCTTGAAGACACGACATGCATGAAAAATTGCCAAAACATTATATAAAGAGAAATGCTAGTGACATTCTCTTTACAGAGCGGATGTTCCTCTATTATTAGTCCACATGGCGGATGTTTTGATTTTAGGTTTTGAATGATATTGAAGTTACAACATAAAAATGAAGGGTTGCATGGGAGATAGAAGCATTTGCTATGAATTTAGAGGGATGGAATCCAAGAATAAACCAACAATCGAATCTCTAGTCATGCATAAGCAAAACCAGAATAACAACGAGAGATATAGCTGAACAGTTTCAATCCTTTACTGAAGATGGCGGTGGTGCACCTTAATCAACAGTGTAAGCTTACAGGGAAGATACATCATCGAACAAATCTTCTTCTGAGCTAGAGCGACAAATCTCCTCTATTTGGCTTGTCACCTCAGCCATTGAAGGGCGTTCGTCAGGGTGCTGTGAGGTGCAGTTAATAGCTACCTGCAAGAGCTGAACCATATCCTCCTCCACATTCTGGTACCGGAGAAGTTCAGGGTCAAATACCTCAGCAGACCACTCCTCTTGAACAATTGATTGGACCCAGCTCGGGAGGTCCACTCCTTCCTCATTCAATATAGCTTGTGTGGGTGCCTTGCCTGTAAGCAATTCCAATAGAAATACACCAAAGCTATAGACATCTGCTTTTTGGGATACTTCGTCACCATCTGTGACCTCAGGGGCACGGTAACCATCAACAGAATTTGGAGTAGCCGTTGGACTTGCAAGCTGAGCAAGACCAAAGTCAGATACACAAGCTTCATATGTTCTTGTGAGGAGGATATTTGAAGACTTGATGTTTCCATGGGAGACTGTTGGGCCTCGGGAGTGGAGGTATGCAATCCCTTTTGCAGCTTCAAGAGCAATTCGAGACCTGCTCTGCCAATTCAAAGGAGTCCTGCCACCTCCTCTGCTTCCTGATAAATCAAAAACAAAGAAAACAAATGCAATTAAAAGAAGACAACCATCAAATATTTCAAATCATCTCTTCTATCTTCTATCCATTCTATTTTTCCATGCTAGCATCAATTGGCGAAACATTAAAAAATGCAACACCTAATTTGACACACATAAGGCTGTCATAACAATCAAATTAATAACAAATTGAAGGCAAAATAAGACACTAGCAATCAAAATGAGCGAGAGCGAAGAAGAGAGAGGTGGAATAATAGCACATAATCTTGGATAGCAAAACAGAGTGTCTAGTGTACAACAATGAAAGCTGAGAAAGAAATGCTTACTTACCATGCAAAAGTGCAGACAAGCTTCCCATGGGCATGAAATCATAAACAAGAAGCTTTTCTCTACTGCTATAGTAGTAGGCCCTCAATGGGACCAAATTTTCATGGTCCATTGATCCGATCACCTCTACCTTGTCCTTAAATTCCTTCTCCGACACATTCACTTCCTTCAACCTCTTCACGGTAACAACCGTCCCCATCTCCAGAGCGGCCTTATACGCCATCCCAAATGTCCCCTTACCCAGAACCTCAGCAGATGCCCTTAACAAGTCGTCCAAATCAAACGCCTTCGATGCTTTCCCAAAAAATACCAGAAAACTCTTATTCCCACCATTGTTAACTTCAGCTCTGGCCGCCCCTGAAAACTCAATACTTCTACTCTCACCCCCCTCCGCTGCCTTCACCCGAGTAATCTCAGTCTCAGTCTGCTTTGCAGGCACAACATCCATTGATTCCGTTTTCTTACCGCAACTACAAAAGCATACCAAAATAGTTATTATCAACAGAACACCAACCAGACACCCAATCACAATCGCAGTGATTGCTCCCGCAGATAAGTTCTTATCAGGGTGCCCACCACCACTCCCAGTAACATTGCAGAGACCCAGAGGTGCCCCACAAAGGAGATTCCCTTCAAAAGCACTCGCGGGCATCCCTGACAACTTCGCCGGGATCATCCCGGTTAAATCGTTGTTTGAAACATTGAATTGTTTAAGCGATGGAATATCAATGTCGGGTATAGACCCAGATAGTTGATTATCCTCCAAATACAGAGTAGCTAACCTGGTCGAATTGTTAACACTCGCCGGGATCGTCCCCGAGAAATTGTTCTTAGAAAGATCAAGTTTTATCAAATTCGGCAAGTTGAACAAGAAACCAGGAATATCGCTAGAAAAATTGTTCCCATTGAAGAAGAGGCATCGAAGAGCAGTGAGATTGGCAAAATCATCAGGGATTGTACCAGACAGAGCATTGTGACGGAGGGACAGAGTCTGGAGTTGAGTCAAGTTGCCAATGCCACGGGGTAGCTGGCCCATGAGACCAGCACCGGGCAGACGGAGCGCGATCACTCCGCCATCCTCACTGGAACAAAATACGCCCGTCCAGTTGCAGGGGCTGGCGTTGAGGTTCCAGAATCGCGGAGTACCGTGTACCGCATCGCGGAGAGCCAACAGTGCTGCTTTGTCTGACGCTAGATCTGAGTTCACAGCGCAGAACAGGAAGGAGTAGACAAGGAAAATCCCCCATAAATTTGGATTTGGCGTTGGTTTTGGTCTCATCTTCTTCCTCGTATAAAGCCAGCAGAAGACAACGTTGTTGCTAGTCCTGACGAAATCCGGAGATGGGTATTGAAACCTGTAACGAAAAGTTTCCCTGGATTCAGCTAAACGTGAATCTCTGGGACGACTGCGGGTTTTGGAGTGTATATGTTTCAGGAAGAAATTGAACGGGAAACGAAATTGTTTTTGTTTAAGAAAAAATAGAGAAAAAAAAAAGAGACCAGCGTTTTTAAGTTTGAGTTGCAGCGGTCCCCCTGACCCACTTTACAAGTTTCTGCGCATGTCTGCGGTCTTTTATGGGTAGTGAGTGATCCAGTGTTTTTTCGTGTAAACTAAGAAACTACACCCACTGTTTGGGGATTTTGTTTAAAATTATTAGATTGTGATTATCAAAATCTGTTATTAATCATAATATCAAAAATAAGAATAAAAGAATTTAAATATATTTCAATTAAATTTTTTAATGAATTAATTTTTATTAAAAAAGTTAATTAAAGATATTTAAATATATACGGTCATGATATTTCACACCTTGATTTTTCATTTTTCTTTTACTACTGTTAATTTGATATGAAAGATTATCTATAAGAGTTCACATGAGCTGTTAATTAGTCCTTTGTTTTAGCAGTAATACAATAACTACAATGACATGTAGAATAATAAAGTATAATAAAATATTAAATAAATTTATGAATACAATATTATAAATAAAATTTTGAATTAAAAAAATTAATTATATAACGATACATAATATTATAAGTTGTATTTGAAATTATTGTAAAATATTGTGATTGTGGTTTTTTTAGTATTGTACTATAAAAAAATTATATTATTATTTGATAATTATTTTGAAAAAAATCTTGTACATTAATATATGACCACTAAGTCATACAAAATATTAATTAAAATTAATACTTTTATGAGATATTCTCTAAAAAAATATAATAAAAAAATAATTTCAAATGCACCCATTAATTTATAACATCACATAATATTATAATTATAATATTTTCAAATGCACCATACCAATGCGAAGATGTGCTTTTAAAGATTGTTCAAAAAATTCAAGAGAAATTAATTTGACCTACATAAAATCTAATTTAAACATATTATAATCATAAAAAAATAATATTTACTCTAATTTATTATTCATTTTGTAAGTATACAATCTTCATACATATTTTAGAGATATTAAATCCGCGTTTCTTACTAATGAGTAGATCTAATTCAGATTTACATCATTGCATACATGTGGTGTGCCATATGGAATACCCTGCTCTTATCAGGCCAATTATAAACGACGGATGGGGCTGAAATAATTTTCTCCTTAAATCGAAGAAAAAAAAAAAAAAGGTGAGATGGCACCTGATCTTTCGAGTCAACTAGCACCCAATCAACTTGAGGTGCATTTTTTCCTTTTTTATGGACGGGTTTCGAGCCCGTCCATTGGCAACTTATTCAAAAAAAAAAAAAAAAGTGAGATGAAGGAAATTTCGAATGGGGTCCATGGGTTAGAACAATCCAATGGTTTTTGTGAAGAAATGTTTGTTGTGACGTGATGTACAGTATAAAATAACTTAACCAGGTTAGTAAGGTAAGGCTGAATTCAATTTCAAAGGGATTTTATTGCTTAATTAATTTATTTTAAATGGTATATGAGGGAATGCTAGCTGGATTTTGCATTTAAACATTGGTTTGCTTTTTGGTACCACAATTTATTTTTTCAAATCTTAAGGGCTAGCGCTTGTATTTTTCTGTTAATATGTAATTTTTGTTTCTTTCAAAGAGACATAAAAGTTAAAAAAAGGAAAATTAAGTGTCAAAGTTTTAGGTTGGAAATCAAATCATTTTTATTAGGGTGAATCTCATGGGTGGTCACCCAACTTTATTAAAATCAACGTTTGGTTCACTCAACTTCTAATTCTAACAAAATGGTCACCTAACTTCTTAAGTTGTCCAACTGTTAGTCATCCATAGTTAATATTAATTGAAAATGTTAAATTGCCGTTAAGGTGGCTAAGTTGAATGCCACCGGGGATCTGACGTGGCATTACATGCACTAAAAATGTAAAAATTGTAATTTAAATCTCTAAAATTTTGGCTTTTTTTTTTTAACTCCTTCTCTAATTTAAGCAAATATAGTGAATGAAAATGAATATTAGAAAAATTCAGAATAAATTACCAAATCAGTATGACTTGTTGGCTGCGTCTATAATCTGAAACTTCTTTGGGACTAGACAGATTTTTAAAATAGAGGGAAGCTAAATTTGCTAAGAAACCCCTTTTTTAGCTTACCTAATAATAGACAAAATGAATGAAAATGGACATCGAGAAAACTCAAAATAAATTACCAAACTAGTATGATCTAGTTGGCCATATTTGTAACATGAAACTTCTCTAAGACTAGTGTCAACAAAATTGGCACAACACAAATGATCAAAACTCTTGCAAACATAACATTATATTTCTTGTTTGAAAATAAAAATAACAATGTTGTATAGTTATATTAATAATTTTAAAATATAATCAAAGAAACAAAAAGGTAGAAGTTGAAAATAAAGAAACTAGCACGAAAAAAGACCTTAAGATCATCATGTGAATAATCATTAAAAAAAGATAAAATTTTAAGAATTTAGATTACAATTTTCACATTTTTAGTGCTAATGAGTGCTTGTAATGCCAGGTCGGATGACATGGCATTTAAGTTAGCCACCTTAACGGTAATTTAACATTTTCAGTTAATATTAACTATGGGTGACTATCGGTTGGACAACTTAAGAAGTTAGGTGATCATTTTGTTAGGTTTAGAAGTTGAGTGATGAAAATGTTAATTTTAATAAAGTTAGGTGACCACCCATGAGAATCACCCTTTTTATTAAGTAACGCATTAACTCTCCCTTTCCATTCACAACCACAAATCATAACCATAATTACAACTATAATCAATTTTTGTTATAGTTAGTCAAAGTAAACTCTTATTTTTCATGATGAATAAGATATTTTTAAAA